CGAAGCTCGAAGTCGAGGTAGAGGAGCTTCGCAGGGAGGGAGGATGAAGAGGAGGAGCACCTGTCTGGTCCGCCACTCAACGGTGTGCATGCAAGGCCGGGGGTGTGCAAAGAATGGACAGCAGGAACTTACATTCGCGATTTCGCTTGGACGGAGACGCATCCGCACGGCGCACACTTGTCTGGTCGGTGGTCCTAGGGTGTGCACACCAGGCGGGCGAACTAAATCAGCGGCCCGGGGGTCAAAAAATGACCATCAGGAAATGGCAAGTATTGCTATCACCACTGGACAGACGCGTATCCGTCTGGGAGCAAGAAAACTGTCTGGTGAGTCCCTGGGTGTGCATGTTGCGCTACGCACTTATGGCGAACGTTGCAATGCTTGATGCAGACGACGTTGACGGACCAAAGCCTCCCCGACGACTGCTGCGCGGGGGATGGCTGGGGCACGCCTCGAGGTCAGAATTTAAGACGGCGCGCGAGCTCGTAGCGACAGCGAAGGCACTCTCCTGGCCTTGCGAAATCACTAGTTAAATGTGCGCACGACGTTGGCAAAGCGAGCCTCCCCGCACCCACGACTACGACTGCTGCGTAGTGATCAGCTGATTGCAACTTCGACACCGCTCGAGGTGACGATCAAAAACGAGGCTGCGCAGTCGTGGCGACAGCTGCAAAGTTCTCTGGTGGCGCACAAACAACACAAATGCGTGTGTTTGCCAGCGTTGTGCAGGTGGCGACCGGCTTCTGGGTGATGCTGGGCTGATACTTATGGGATGAGCGAAAGGGGTTCAGATTAGGAGGCAACTCCTGGGAGGTCTTGGTCTGAACGATCAAGAGCTATAAAGCCCGATTAAGGGGCCACGATGCCAGACCAGGCCAAATTAAGCCAGGGATACAACCTGATTAGACGGGGTAAAACCGGATTCAGCGGGGTTCCGCCAGATTCGGCGAGATGAAATAGGATTTAAGCCCGCTCTCAGCCAGGGATATGCCGGCGCGAATTCTCTGAGTCTAGCCTCGCAGAAGTTGCATCCTCACTCAGAGGACGTCTGGGTCGTGACCCTGGTCCTTCTTCAGCAACCAGCCTGTTTGATTCAGGGCCCCATAGACCCGGACGCGCTAGACCCAGACACCCAATATCCCTCGAAACCAATTTTTCCAAACGGCGGCACGAACAAAATACTGCACTGCAGCATTTCCAGGACAAACCCGGACACAGGCCCCAAAAGCCTGCAAGACCCCCCTTAACCCAGACACACACCCGAATCCTGCAGTGCAGCAAACAAGAAATGCACGGGTGCTGAAAAACGTGATTCTGCAGGAAAGGATGTCGTTTCCTTGATTTTCCGTGTCCTGGTTTATCTGTGTCCTGGTCTCTGGGGGCCTGATTGATTCTGTTGACGGCCCCAGCGGAGGCCGCACATTTTGAAAAAGCCGCCGGGCCGCTCAAGAAAGCTTCACGGTGAGCCTCTCCTCCCCGTAAAGATCTACCCCAGGACCTCTCCAGGGGCGCGTTTTGATCCGAATTCCCCAGGAAGTCCAACAGTGGCGAAAAAGAACGCATCGGAGACCAGCAAAGTACACAAAACTTCTAGGGAGCCCCGATCCTCCAAACATAGATTTCTTCGCGGCGAGACTTGCTGTCGGCCGACGAAGAGAACAAGGCCCCCCACGACAACCCGTGCGACCCGCTAGGTCGCGACCCGCTTCCTGCCGCCCGCGTCGGGTCGCCCCACGCTGGACGAAAGCCCCCGAGCAGCCCTTCCGAGAAACGGCCCTGCACACCTCCGTGTCCGGTAACACGAGCGCGCAGAATAAGAAGAGCGTGAAGCATACGGTCGGGAAGCTCTGCTTCGCGTGCAGCGGCGGCGGCCCCGGCGACACACTGTGCCTTGCAAGCGGGCGGCGCAGCGCTCCGTTCCGCGTGGCGAGCAGCTGGGAAGAGCTCGGGGCGCTGTCGCTCGGGGACCAGGACGGGGCTCGCGTGTCGCGGAAGAGCGTGGTGGGCCAGAACCGGCGGCGCGACACGCCAACCACGACTTCCCGACCGCAACCTGAAATCCGACGTCACGAGCGAGCAAAAAAACACATCGCGGGGGAAAAACAAACAAAAAAAAAAAAACGACCGGAGCCCTGGACCCAATCTCTCTGCGGCATCTTTCGAGCCTGGTCGATCTGCAATGCTCGCGAGGCCCAAGCCCCGGCGGCGGCGCCCGCTTGGGAGGCGGCCAGGGGTCTGCAGCGCATGGACCAGGAAGCATCGGTCAAGAAGGGGGGCTGAGGGCAAGTCCACTCAAAATTGGCCCACGGATCCCTCCCAGGGTCCATCCGGTGCAGTGCCTCACGCCAGCCTCGTCTTCGACGCCCTGGGGCCGAAGACTGCCCCGAGAGGCTGGAGAAAGGGCTCGAGCCTCGCCCCCTGTCCTGCTCGCCAGAACCGGCGCTGGACTGCCTCAGACCCCCCGCCGACTCCAGCGCCAGTTGTTAAACCGCGCCGACGACGACGACGACGACGACGACGACGAAGACGACGACGACGACGACGATGGCGACGACGACGACGACGACGACGACGACGACGATGGCGACGACGACGACGACGACGACGACGACGACGACGACGATGGCGACGACGACGACGACGACGACGACGACGACGACGACGACGACGACGACGACGACGACGACGACGACGGCTGCGACGACGACGGCTGCGACGGCGACGGCGACGGCGACGGCAACGCCCGGGTCTGAAGGTATGCCGTGCGACGCGCGGCTACCTTCAGGAGGGAAAAAAACACACAGACACAAGTAATCGTCGATTCCCGAGAAAATATCGGAAAATATGGGAAGTGGGGGGGAAGACGAAAACCCAGAAAATATGTGGAAATATGGGGATCTTCTGACCCGGGTTAATCCAGACCCCAGTCAGTCAGGCCTGCAGGATCCTGCAAGCTCCTGCAAGCTCCTGCACCCAAACCTGGGTCAATGCGAAGGATCCTGCAAGACCCTGCACCCAAACCCGGGTCAATGCGACCCTGGCCCTGCAGAATCCTGCAGGACCCGGTGCCCTGGCTGACCCCCGTTTGCATTGACCCCCGTCTCAAGGCTCCCGAGCTATGTATGCCGCGCGACGCGCGGCCACCTTCTGGCCCGTGGCGCCTGGAGATGGGCACCAGCACCAACACGGGAGGCTTGCCTCCACGGGAGGGAGATTGTCCTAGATTTCGGTGTTGGTGGTCATATTTCGGTCACCTTGGAAGCCAGAATATCACGACCGTCACCGAGATCGGGATCCTCTTCCCTCGGTGGAGGCGCACCGCCGATATTGGTGTTGGTGTCAACCTCTAGGCCTGCGTCAAGGGGCTCCAAGGTGGAGCGAAAGGCTGGGGGCACACCTTGGGCCAGGGGTACCCGTGGTTCATTTCTAATCGTGCTCATTTCTAATTGTGCTCGAATCTAATTGTTCCTGGCCCCCTAGTGGCCAGCAATTAGAAATGAAACGATCTTGGCCCCAAACAAAAATCCAAGAGCTTTCGAAGAATTAGACATGAACCATGGGCACCCGTAGCAACCCCCGAACGGTACCGATCGGCGGCGGCAGAAGGAGAGGCCACAGCTCGGCGGCTGATTATTCGTGTGAGTATTCTTCTGAATAGTATGATTCGTAGTCGCAATCTCAGTATAAGTATTATTACTGTTCGTCGTACTTGTCTTGCGCTTCTGCATAATATTATTGATGATTAATATGATTATTATGCTTAGTCTGAGCATTATTATTATTAGTGTTATGTTCCCTTTTATTACCCATATCATCATTATTAGTATTATCGTTATTATTCTGATTCTTATTATTATCATAATCATCATGATCATTATTATCATTATTAATATCAGTATTATTATCATTATTATTACTATTATTATCATCATTATCATTATGATTTGCCTCCTTTCCACGGCTTCAGGCTCCGTGGGGCGCTCGCCCGTTCGCCGCCAGACTGCGGGGAGGTCCCGAGCCCCGCTGCCGGGACGCCCCTGACGCGCGCTCGGCGAGGGCCCCTCGGGCTCTCCCCTCCGAGCCCCACGTGCGCGCGCCTCGGCGGTGGAGATCGGCAGAGCAAGGAGAAGGGGGAGCGAGGAGGGGAAGAGGGGCCCGCCTTCTAAGAGGCCAATTTCTTGTTCAAAGCGTCCAAGAAACTGTCACGTGACCTGCGCTCTGGCCTTTTCGCTTCCAACGGGCCTCGATGCCTCAAGATGGCCCCGAGATGGCTCCAGAAAGCATCGGATGGGACCGAAGAGGCCCTCAAGAGAGCCCCATTAGCGCCCAAGAGCGCCCCAAGAGCGTCCCAAGACGGCCCTAAGAGACTGCTTTGATGATTTCAGAAGGGGATCTATGCTACGGATCCCGACCTCCTCTGATCCATGGATCCATGCCCTCCAAGATGGCACCGAGAGGCTCCCCGGGAAGGCCCCAAGGCGCCCGCACAGGGGAGCACGAGGAAAAAGCCCTACCAAGCCTCGCGGAGGGAAAGCAACTTGGCGGCCCAGGCCGTGAAGCCCAGAGCGCGGCCATCTCCGAGCCCCTGCGGGTGACCCTCGTACACCTCCGAAGGGCACCACGAAGCCTTCCACCGATGGCTCACCATACATACCCTGAAAACCGGGCTTTCACAACGGGCGTCTTCGCCTGGTTTCGGGCCCGGGACCATACAGATCGATCCGGCCCGAGAGATACCGCAGAAAGATGGGGTCTTGGGCCTCCCGGCGCGACTTCCCGTGACGTCTCATGTTGTTACGCAGCGTCGGATCTCAGGGTATGTACGCACACTGCAGTGCAGGAGCAAACAGCTCTGATCTCTGAAAGTGACACAGGCAGCCGGGCAAACGTCATCGGCTGTGAGCGCCATCGAGGTGGCATGCGGCTGCGACTCGCTGCCAGGCTTGTCCCTGTCCTCACAGGAGCTCTGCCTGTTGGGACTTGAGCGCCTCCCAGCCAAGTCACTCACACTTCAGCGTCTCGCCGACCCAGCGCGATCGAGCAGCGATCTTCGACCACTTCTCCCAGGAGGGCTGAGGCTCCTTCTCCGCGGCAGCGACGCAGGCGTCGAGGCCGTGGACGTTCCCAGCATTCTCCCTCTCCCCGCCCACGCCCTCACCCTTCGCCTCCTGGACAGCTGCAGCGTGGCTCACTCGAGCCGTGGTCACCGCCGAATCGGCTGCACTCCGCGGCCCGCCACGCAGCGAGCCACTCGAAGGGGGCAGAGAAGAAGCCAGCGGAATCGGACGGGCCGCGGCCCCTCTGCCCCAGTCGACCCATCTGCAGACCATGACGTCCTCGGAGGATGCGCGGGCCTTCTCGTCCCTCGTGAGCATGGCCCTGAGATAGTCCCTGCATGCGGAGTCCAGGCTGGGGAAGTTCAGCTCCCAATTCTTCTGGCAGATGTCCTCATCGCTCTTGAAAGGGAAGGAGCCCTTCAACAGGACGTACATCGTGACGCCCATTGCCCAAATGTCCACCTTCGGGCCGTAGTCCCCTCTGAAGATTTCTGGCGCCCAAAACTTCCTGGTGCCCACCTCTTTGCTCAACCTCTTCCCGTGTGAGACAGACGTCGAGGAGCCGAAATCCGTGAGCGCAATGCGGCACTCAGGATCGATCATGTTCTTCCTGTCCATGAGGAAATTATCACCCTTGACGTCCCTGTGGACGATGTTCCTCCCGTGAATGTGGCACAGGGCCTTCGCCATCTGGAAGCTGATGTGCGCCACCGAGGAGCACTCGACCTTACCTATCCTCTTCAGGTGGCGGTGTAGCCCGTCGATGAGGGCCCCCCCCGCGTACTCATCCATGACTATGCACGCGAAGCCCTGCTCAAAGAAGACCCCGTGGAACTTCACGATGCACTCGTGGTGCTGCACGGCCCGCAGACGCTCGGCCTCCTTCTCAACCTGGGCAATCGGCGTCCTCGCCTTCTCGCGTGAGCACGAAAGGAAGCGACCCCGAGGGAAACAGGTCCTGGACCCCGAGGGCCCTCCCCCAGACCAGTAACTCTCTATCCTGAGCCGTTTGTTGACGGTCCTGGGGCCCAGGAAGCCCCGAGCGGCGAAGCGGTAAAGAACCTCAAGACCCTTCCCTTCAGGACCCTTTCAGCTCACGGCGAACCTTGTCGACCATCTTCACCGCAACGGTCTGGCCGTCAGTCCTGCGCCGCGCCACGTACACCACCGCGTGCGCACCCTCTCCGAGCACGCCTCCGACCTCGTACTCCTCCGAGAGCCGCGTGCCCACCTGGCACCACTGTGAACCCGCCACTCTGAGGGCCCAACGGGGCAGAGCACACAGGATCGACGACCCGGAAGAGTGAAACGGAGCAAGAGTGACCTTTGGTGCGCGGCCCTTTGGGGGGCCGCGGGGGAACCAAACACAGGCGCGCACGACGCCACTGCCGCACCGCGCTCGGCGATCAGGGGGCCCCCTTGGGCCCGCACCCCCAAGGCCACTCCGGCGAAAGGCCACTCAAACGTGCAGTCGACAGCAACGCTGCATGAGAACAAACATTGAGTATCGTTTATCCCGTCCCCATCCCCAGGCCCAGGCCACGCCACTGGGCCTGGGCCCCACTAGCCGATTCACGCCCCTAGATGGGATATAGGTCGTTCCCTTCGGGCTTCGAGGGGTGTATTCCCAACTGGGGTGGTAATTTGGTGGGGGTCTCGAAGAGGATGGGGATGGGGATGGGGATCGGTTAAACGATACCGAAGCATGGTGAGCCACCATCACAAAGGGGGCGCGCCTGGTGAGGGTGGCCAGGAGCCGCAAAGCGACCGAGCACGGCAGCACGCCACGCGGCACTTCCGGGGCACGGCGTGACGCGTGAGAGCACGAGACGCAGAACGGCACGGCACGCCCGCTGCATCCTGAGCCACGGGCACGGCACGGCGCGGTACCCACGGCACGGCATGAGACGGCACGGCACCGTCCCCAGACATGATCACGTCGTGAAAAAATCAGGACGGGCGGTTTTTGGCCAATTTCGGCCTCGGGGGGCCCTCGCCGGGCCTCGGCACCGTCAAAAAATGATTCAGGATGAAAGACAGGTCCCTGGGAACAGGTCGGGACTTCCGGGGACCCCGTCCTGAAGAAATCAGGACGTCGCATGTCTGGATCAGGTGGTCTGACGAGCTCCCATTTCCTCTTCCAGAGCCTCTCTTCCCTTCGGGGAGGGGGGTGCCCTCCCTCTCCCCTCCTCGAGGTGTTTTTTGGACCCCCCGCGCGCCATGTGCCAGAGGGTGACAGCAGATGGCTCCAAAAGGGCCTCCGATGCTCCAAAATGGCCTCCAAGACGGCTCAAGATGCCCGAGGATGGTTTCAAGTTGGCCTCCATCATGCCTCCAAGAGGCCCCAAGAGAACCACAATACGGTTCCAAATGCTCTCGGTGACCCCCACTCATCCCCCCAAGATGCCAAACCCTTCAAAAACTGTATCAAGTGGCTTCTGAGCCCCAAAATGACCCAAGAGAACCCCAAGAGGTGCCCAAGGGACCCCCAAGATGGTCCCAAGAGCGCCCCGAGAGCTCCCCAAGAGGCAAGACGCGGTTTTGATGCACCAGAGGGACAAGGAAAATCGAGGACCCACTCTTTTGATCGAAGCCCTCCAAAATGGCCCCAAAAAAAACCCAAGAGGGCTCGCTCCAAGAGGGCCGTAAGAACCCCCAGAGGAGCCCCAAGAGGACCCCAAGACCCTCCAAAATATCCCCATTAGGGCCCCAAGAGGGCCGCGAGAGAGCCCGAAGAGGCCCTTAAGAGCCCCTCCAGAAGACCCCAAGATCGTTACCAGAGTCTTTGTCCTCTTCATCCTCGCCCTCCTCCTCCTCCTCCTCCTCCTCCTCCTCCTCCTCCTCCTCCTCCTCCTCCTCTTCCTCCGTTTCGTCCTCCTAGTGCCTCATCGTCCTCCTCCTCCCTCCTCCTCCTCCTCCTCCTCCTCCTCCTCCTCCTCCTCCTCCTCCCTCCCTCCTCCCTCTCCTCCTCCTCCTCCTCCTCCTCCTCCTCCTCCTCCTCCTCCTCCTCCTCCTCCTCTCCTCCTCCTCCTCCTCCCTCCTCCCTCTCCTCCTCCTCCTCCCTCCTCCTCCTCCTCCTCCTCCTCCTCCTCCTCTCCTCCTCCTCCCCCTTCCTCCTCCTCCTCCTCCTCATCATCATCGTCGTCCTTCTTGGACTCCTCCTCCCCCTCCTCGTCCTCATCCTCCTTATCATCATCATCATCATCATCATCATCATCATCATCATCATCATCATCATCATCATCATCACCACCACCACCATCATCAGCAACAGCAGCATCAGCAGCAGCATCATCATCATCATCATCATCATCAGCAGCAGCATCATCATGATCATCACCATCATCATCAGCATCATCATCATCGTCATCATCATAATCACCATCATCATCCTTATAATAATCATCATCATCATCATCCTCATCATCATCATCATCATCAGCAGCATCATCATCATCCTTGTCCTCATTGTCGCCCTCCTCTGAGTCATCCTCATCGTCCTCGTCCTGGGCCTGATCAGGCTAATCCAAAACTTCTTCCACTGCATGTGCCCACACTGCCCTGGTCAGGGCCACTCGACCGGGCATCGCTCCAAGATGGGCCCGTGGGGACACGCGAAGCGCCGAGGGCACCCCCGCGCCCCGTGCCCTCGGCACGGCGCGGAACGGCACGCCACGGCACGGCCGACCGTCCCTCTCCCCCGGCGGCGGCGCCGCGGCGGCAGGCAAGGTGCCTCTGGGGTACTGGCGGCGCTGCTGTGGCGGCTGCTGCTGCTGCTGCGGCTGCTGGTGCTGGGGGTCGTAACCGCCCCCTGGACCGTGCCTCGGGCCTCGCGGACAGGGCGTCGCCGTCGCCGTCACCGCCGTCCGCGTCGTCGCCGTGGACGTCGTGGTCGCCGCAGTCGTCGCTGTGACCGCCGCAGTCGTCGTCGTCGTCGCCGTCGCCGCCGTCGTTGCCAGAAAAGGGGAGAGGGAGGAGGAACGGCAGCATGAGGAGGAAGAGGACTGGCACGCCACGGCACGCCACGCCAAGGCACGCCACGCCACGGCACGGCACCCTCTGCACGGCACGGCACGGCGCGGCACGGCACGGCGCGGCACGACACCCTGCGGCCTGGCCGAATGCACGGCGCGGCGCGGCGCGGTGAGATCGTCTCCGTCGGGCGTCGAAGAAGGCGAAAGATAACGAGTTATCAAAGGATGGGCATAGAGTTTTCCGAGGCACGCCTCTGAACACCACAATACAGTACTGAGAAACTCCGCCGACCCGGCGGCCTTAAGCCAACAGGCTACGGTCAGATCCAAGGGACACACAGGGAGGAGGGGAGTGGGGGTACGACCACAACGGGACTACTTTCAGTGGATCTGACAGCGGCCCGAAACTCCTGCCCTCCTCCTCGCCCCTCCCGCCTAACCCGGCCTGATCCCCGACCCAGTAGCCGTCTCCCGGCTGGTTCAGAGCCTGACGGGACGACGCGCGCGACCGACACTTCAAATCATTGTTGAGAGCTCTCTCTGTCATATGTCCCTCCTCATCCACGAGCACGATCGAACCTCGACTGAGAAGATCCGAGAGAGCCACGTTTCCCCGTGTGGGGTCTGCCTTAGTAAGGCAATCTGCCGCCATGCGGCCATGAGGGACACATCTGATCTGAGAGCCTATAGCCGAGAGACTGTCGCGCACGACAGCGAGCTCAATCGCCGTTCTCCTGTCCTGACGGGAGCCCGCACTGTTGCGAGACAAAGTATCGAAAATCGATTTCGCGTCGACGACCGAAAGCGAGCTCACTCCCTCAGACAAGGTACAGTCCCTGCTCAGCACAACAGAGAAGGGCGCCTGCGAGAGGTGCCAGTCGGGCTTGCACACGTCATTGAAAAGCAAGTCTCGCCACATGATGGCGAGCCACTGGCCCTCGGCCAGCGCGGCACTCAAACTCAGAGTCTCTGCAGCCCCCGTGGAAGCGACCACGCGCTTCAACCTGACCGAACGCCAAGAAAGCAAGGACACCCAGGACCTCACATTTTGCCGAATCGACGCATCGGCCGCACACACGAGCCATCCTCCTTGGGCCCCGTTTCTACGAGCGGACCCGGGGCCACCAGCATCGGAAATAGTTACGAAATTCAGAGAAGCAGCGTCTAGAGGCCAGATCGTAATCTTTTGGCACGCCGAACTCTTGAGATGCTTAACTATTTTCAAACACATGATGGCGTCAGCCACCGTGGGGCTCGGCAGCGCGGCACTCTGCAAAGAGGCTCCGGCGGCCACGTCCGGACGAGACTCCCTCCCCAGCCACTGTATCTGTGCCACCATCGTACGATAGTGGCGGATCTCCTCCGCGGCGAGAAGATCATCCGGCACAGCACGGCGCTCCTTAGCCAGACGCACGGGGGCAAGCTGCTCAACGACGTATTTTTCTTGGTCTACAAAAATACGAGACCCTACCTGCTTGAGGTGCCTCCCCGCAAAATCCGATTCCCCGATTTTCCACTTCCCGAATTTAAAACGGCCTTGGAGCCGCTCCCTCAAACCGGCCCTCTCCCCGGGGTGCGAAGACACTATAAGGTCGTCCACTTCTATGAGCACGATGGAGCGAGGTTCCCCCTGGCCCGACCGTTTCACCCACAAACAGGGCTCGAGAAGGGATTTCTCGAAGCCGTCCTCGGACAACCATTGTGTGAGCGTGCGGTGCCACAGCAATGGAGCATCATTTAATCCATACACTGGCGCAATGAGCTCAATGAGCTCGCCTGGGGCGAGGTTCAGCCCCTGACAGGGCTCGCGGAAAATCTGTCCACGTGGACGAGACAGTCTGTTGGACTGACAGAATGCATTCTTAGCATCTGCAACTTCCAAGGTCCAACCCAACGAGCAAATCGCTTGTAGAGTCAACATGATGCTTTCCCCTTGGGGGGTGGGGGCGTAGACCTGCAACTGATCACTGTCGGGGCCATGGTGCCCCTGCACGCACCATCGAGATTTAGCAACAGCTTCAGACCCCAAACCCTCCTGTGGTTTAAAACGTCGGACCATCCGGGAACCCAGCACTCGATCAGGAAAACGCTTGCGCGCTAAAGCCGCCTCGGCGGCAGGAACGATCCCCACCGCTCCTGAATCTAAAAATCGCTTGCCACTCCTTGGCGTCTGAGAAAACGGAAAGGCGTCTCTCGGCCTCCGAGAGATGCTTGAGCGAAACCTCCGCTCCTCTCCGACTGGGAGGGGCCCCTTCCCCAGAACAGCCCCCAGTCTCCGCGAAAGTTTCAGCTCCCCCAACCCAAAAAGACGGCTCCCAGCCGTACCACCCGCACAACTCAGCCCATAGGCTTTCCTCCTGCTCTTCGTCGAACTCTGACTGCTCGTCTTCGCCGCCGTCCTCAAACCAGGAACCCAAGATCCTCCGATCTGGAGGCACATCTTCCAAGCCAGCATCTCGAATCGCCCGATCGGCGACCCTCGAGACCGGAGCGCCGCATCTGTCAAAAATCGTGCCCGATCTCAGGGACTCATCCCTGGGCTCGAGAAGGCGAGGCTCGGGAGTTCGCGACCTCGCACGCCCTCCGGACTCCAGGACGGCGTCTGCGCCGTCACCAGCACCTAAGCTCGGCTGGCCAGGAGCGTCGGAGGAGGAAGAGGCAGCCGGGCGCAGATCGCCACGGCGAATCGAAACTGGAGTGTCATCTAGAGCGCTGCGGCGCCGGATCGAAGGGTCGATCTCTCTCGCGAGCGCCAACACTCGCCCAGAAGCTGGCAGCTGCTCTGCCGGGGTCCGAGGCGCTGACTGGTGAGGGGGAGGCGGCTCCAGCCTTGGTCTCTGATGAGGACGAGGGGAGGGATCGACGCTTCCCGGATCCGTGATCTGACGAGAGACCGCGGGCGTGGGCACGGACCCCTGGATCGAAGAGGGAGGTTGGGCCGTCGAGGCCCTCTCGAGCGAAGAGGGGAGAGGAGGAGCAGGAGGGGCAGGAGGATCATCCTCTGGAACAACCACCGGCTCAGCCCCTCGAGCAGTGGGCGGGGCCACCACCGCAGCTGCGCCTTCCGAGCGTTCAGGGGGCGCCGCCACGCCCCAAGCACCTGGAGGAGGGGGCCCCTCGGACTCCACGTCAACCGCTCCCACCCGCTTCCCTGGGTCCTTCAGGTCGCGCCTGAGGCTGTCGAAAGAGGGAGAGTCGAGAAGCTCGGCTCCCCACGACTCCTCCTTGGTCGCCCAACGAACCTGCTCGCTCCCACACTTCAAAAGACGCGAGCGCATCGCCACCCAAACCGTCGTTCCCTGCTGGAAAACCACGGCCCCGGGCCCAGTCCACCTGCTTTTACCGACGTTGCCGTGAGGCTGAGAGGGGGCACGCCTCCACACGTAAACCCAACTCCCCGGGGAAAACACTGGATCCACATGCTTGCGAGCACGCGAGGCAGAAACGAGACGGTCCCGCACGTCCATGGTCATGACGGCCCGCCGGGCCTCCTCTCGCAAAGCATGCTTCCTCGCGAAAGCTGCCGACGGAGACTCCGCGTCAGTCGAGCCCCTCACCACCTCGTCGATCCCGACTTCGTCGTGAGCATCGCCCGACAAAAGGCAACGAGGGAGTCTGGGATTTTCCCCAAAAACCATTTGGTAAGGAGAGAACCCTCCCCTATGTGCAAAACGGCTCTTGGCCGCGACCACCTCGCAGAGAAGGTCCTCCACTTCTTCCAGAGTCGCTGGAGCAGTGCCTCCAGAAGCCTTAACCAGAGCAGCCTTCACGAGCCCCCCATGACGCTCGCAGCGCCCGTTCTGCTGGGGTGACTCCGCGTCGCACACGTGTTGGAAGATTCCTTCCTGCTCCAGCCCCCGGGAGAAGGCTCCCTCGAACTCGGGTCCCCCGTCTGTCATGACGGTCTCAGGCAGACCGAGTGGCCTCACCCAATACCGCAAAAAGGCCCTCCACACTTCGGCGGCCGAAGCCGAGCGCAGGAGGACGCAAACCTGGAAGTTCGACCCGCGGTCGATCAAGTTGAGGACTGGCCTAGTCTCGCCGAGGGCACTTATATACAGAAGGTCCGCCGCGACCAATTTATTGAACCGATAGGTTCGCGGCAGGCACGAGCGCCGGCGCCAGCCGTGCCGGGAGGCCGACTGACATCCAGGGCACACGAAATGCTTGCTGACCCAGTTGATGACCTCAGGCTTTGCTTGAGCGACCTTTAGCGCCCTGATCAGATGCTCTCGCCGGGGGTGTCCCAAATTCACGTGTAACTTGTGGACCTCGTCCTGGAGTTCCCGTGGAATTCCAACCGAACCTGAGGCATCGGATTTCTCGGCCCCCTCAGGGCCCGGACGCTCGGGTTCCCCCTCCTCCTCGGAGTCGCTGATCTCTCCGCCGTCAACCGGGTGGGGCCTGCCCCTGGGGCAGCGGCGGCAGGAAACGAGAGGGCCCCCGGCTCGCTAGCTGACAGAACGGCAAAACCTGCCCGCTCAACGCCCTCAATCAGCGCGTCCACCAGACGCTCAGGATACCGCTCAGCTGCTGATGTCCTGGCCCCGCCCACCAATTGCGAGTGCTCATGCTGCCCCGTGCACCTCCTGTGACACACGGCGAGAAGCTCCGGACTGTTCGAGATGAAGCTCGTGGGCTTCATGGCCAGACCCCCGTCGAGGGTCCTGAGCCCGAACTCACACTGGTCTCCCCGAACCACCTGGACCCCGGGCTGGCTCAGAAGCTCCTTCGTCGAGCTCAGCTGCTGAGAGAAGGCCCCGTACGGATTCTCAATCCAGAAAGACCGTCCCTTGGACAGCTGAAACATCGCCAGCTGCATGCACAGACCCCACATCATCAGACACTCTTGCTC